AACCCTCGGCGGGAGCGCCGCCGCACTCCCAAGCTGCGCACTCTCCAGTGCGCCACTGGGCTGGCCTGCCAATTCTATTTCTAATCAATTACTCTGAGTTCTGTTATCTTGAAAAAGTCAGGTGTTCTCTTTGTGTCTGTGTTTCTCCATTTTTAAACTAAGGGTACTAAACTCTTTCCATGAGAGATTAAATGGGATTGTAGTGCAAATATAAGAATCACATAGGTGCTATTAAGTAGAACCACATAGTTGGGGAGACTCTCAGATTAATGGGGTACAGTAGTGAGCATAGGATCTCAGGCATTCATCACCCTAGAATAGCGCTGTTACGTTATCTGGACCTTATTCCTAGAGATTTATCCCAGTCATTTGTGGGCCACAGTTAGATGCGTGATGACTTTACAGATATAGCTAATTCCTCAAAGGTAATAAAATATATGGATCTTATTCAATGACTTAGAAAAAAGAGTTTATATAAACACAGGGCTCTGTTTTTAAAAATCAATAATGATTTTTTAAAAAGACTAGAGTGTCTAAATTAAGCTTTTATATTTCCCAAAGAATTAAGAAAGGTTGCAGAAATTTTCCTCCGGTGTATCTAGAGTCCTTGATTTCTGATGCCCGGTACCATCTCTAGAAATATCACCTGCTAGTCAAAACCCTCCTGAAACTGTCAGCTCACACTGCTCTGCACTGTCACTTCAAAGGCCTTCAGCAGCATCTGGCTTGCTCAGTTCTTAATGATGGCTTCCTGGTTGTGTTCCACAGACAGAGTAAAACTTCTACCCATCAATTTAAAACTTTGTTTTATTATAGAATAGTAAGAACATTCAAAAATAAATATATCATATATGTAGATGAGTGATTGTCAACAAGGGGCAATCTTGCTCCCCAGGGGACATTTGGAAATGTCTGGAGATATTTTTTGTTGTCATAGCTGGGCTAGGGGGTGGTGGGGGAGTTGCCACTGGCATCTAGTGGGTAGAGACCAGGGGTGCTACTAAATATCCTACAGTGCAAAGGACAACCCCACAACAAAGATTTATCCAGCCCAAAACATCAGTGGTGTCAAGATTGAGAAAGCTGACATAGATTAAGAAGCATAATAAAGTGAACTCCATGAACCCACTAGCAGTGTAACAACTAGAACATAACCAATACTGTCGCATCAACTTGTATCCTTTTTCCATCAACCTGCCCTTCCACTCGAGGGGCTCCTACCTGATTTTACTTTATTTCACACTGCTCTGCACTGTCACTTCAAAGGCCTTCAGCAGCATCTGGCTTGCTCAGTTCTTAATGATGGCTTCCTGGTTGTGTTCCACAGACAGAGTAAAACTTCTACCCATCAATTTAAAACTTTGTTTTATTATAGAATAGTCAAAACATTCAAAAATAAATATATCATATATGTAGATGAGTGATTGTCAACAAGGGGCAATCTTGCTCCCCAGGGGACATTTAGAAATGTCTGGAGATATTTTGTTGTCATAGCTGGGCTAGGGGGTGGTGGGGGAGTTGCCACTGGCATCTAGTGGGTAGAGACCCGGGGTGCTACTAAATATCCTACAGTGCAAAGGACAACCCCACAACAAAGACTTATCCAGCCCAAAACATCAGTGGTGTGAAGATTGAGAAAGCTGACATAGATTAAGAAGCATAATAAAGTGAACTCCATGAACCCACTAGCAGTGTAACAACTAGAACATAACCAATACTGTTGCATCAACTTGTGTCCTTTTTCCATCAACCTGCCCTTCCACTCGAGGGGCTCCTACCTGATTTTACTTTATTTGATTTTTTTGGTCATCATTCCTTGACCCCTTTTTAAAGTGGTATTTTTACATTTTGTATGTATTCTAAAAAAGATTATTTTGTTTTACCTGTTTTTGATCTTTAAAAATGGCATTATATTGTTTTTAGTCTTCTGTGACTTGCTTTTTTTCACCCAGTATGTTTCTAAGATTCATTCATGTTGATCTATGTAGGTACACTTTATTTCCTGTTGATGAACATTTCAATTATTTAGTTTTTTGTTTTGCCCATTTCTACTATTTTGAACAGGCTTGGTATTTATATTTAAGGATTTCTCTAGGGTACTTACCTAGGGATAGATATTCTGTGAATGTTCAACTTCATAAAATAGTGCCAAATTGTTTTCCAAAGTGGTTCTAACAATTGATACACCAGCAATGTATCAATGTTAGTCAATGATAATGTCTCTTATCCACATCTGCACCAACTTTGTGATATCAGATTTCTTAGTTTTTGCTAATCAAGTGGGTAGAATGGTATCATGGTGTGATCTGAATTTGCATTCCCCTAATTACTAATGAACTTGAACATCTTTTTATGGATTACTTGCCATCTATGTTTTCTCTTCTGTGAAATACTTGTTTGTGTCTTTTGTTCATGTTCTGTTGTTCTGTCTCCCTCACTACCTTCCTTTCTTTCTTTATTGATTTTTACAAGTTCTTAGTATATTCTGGACACTAATCTTTTATCAGTTGTGTGTGTTGCAAGTAGCCTTCGTCTAGTTCAGGCTTATATTTTCGTATTTTGATGTTGTGATTTTTGAACAACGTTCTTAATTTTAATATTGTTGACCTTATCAATCTTTTCTTTTATAGTTAGCCCTTTTGGGTTCTTGTTTAAAAGCTCCCTTTCCCTGAGATTAGAATAATATCATCCAATACATTCTTTTAAAGGTGGTAAAGTTTTTTCTTTTCACTTTATTTCTTTAATATATTGAAGTTGACTTTTGTATGTAAACAATTGTCTCACTCCAATTTCTTCAGCAATGCTTCATGCCAAATCTCTTATATATCAAGTTTTTATAATGCATAGTTCTGGTTCTGGGCTCTCCATTCTGTTCCACTGGGGTCAGTTTATCTGTCCCTGTACCAATGCCATACTGTACTGATTTTTATAACTTTATAATAATCATTGATATCTTGTAGGACAAGTATCCCCACCCACTTCATTTCCTTCTTCAAGAGTGTCTTGCCTTTTTTTCCCTTCTTATTTTTCATATAAATTTTAGATTCGGTGTTTCAAGTTTCATGAAAAATCCTAGTGGGATTTTCAGGGGAATTGCATAGAAATTATACAGCACTTTGAGGATAACTAACATCTTTATAATACTGTCTCCTAATTTTTGAACATGGTATATCACTCCATCTGTTTAGTTCTTCTTTAATGATTTTTAGTAAAGTTTTGTAATTTTCTCTCTAAGTTCTTACACATCTAAAGCAAAGGTTCTTGTAAGTCTGTTTCATTGTTTATTGTTTCTTTTGGTTCTTGCATATGGTGTCTTTTTTCCATGCATGTTTAGTTTTTTCTGACAGTGATATGCTAATTTGCCTTGGAATTTTATTTGAGGGATTTCTTTGAGGCCTTAAAACCTTCAGAGAGGTTTCGCATTTGATGATGCCAGATATATTTTTAAAAAGCCAAGTTTACTATGGTATTTTATATAAGTATTGGTCTACTACCCAGATCTTGATTTCTTAAAACCATTTTCTGCTAAAAAGAATGTGAATTGTTTGGAGAAATGGTTGATCCTAAAGCTGGGGCAGGGAAAATACAAGATGAGCCTGGAGAATCTCATTGGGCCAGAAAAGTTTCTTACAAAGTGATCAAAAAATGGTGGGAATATGTTAAAAGGACATGGGAAGCAGCTTGAAGAGGCTTCCACAGTCCAAATCTGGGACAATTTGAGCATTGAAGTAAATAACGAG